GCCCCTGAGGGAGGAGTGTACTTCATATAAGGAACAGCAAATAAGGCAACCCCATAGCTGGACTGAGTAGGTGTATCTTTGAGATTCTATGTCATGAGAACTTTCTTATTCTTTTTTACATCTGCATCCTGTTCTATTGTATGTGTGCACCATAGTTTAAGCAGTCTCAGCTGATGGAAATTTAAGAGACTCTTGGAATTTTGGTTCTAGTAGTTACCTTTGCAGTGTTAGAGAACAAAATTCAACTTAAAACATTTGAAAATCTGATTAGCTTTATTAAGTGATTCATGAATCGAGCAGCATCCCATCGAGCCATAAAAGGACCCTCCCAGGGGTTGTACAACATGGAAGATTTTTATACTCAAAAAGAAGGTGGGACTAAGAAGTTAAAAGAATGGATTATTTCCGGCAAGGACAACTTTCCTTAGGGGAATGCAGGACTTTTTATCAGGCAGATCACCTCATCACTAGTGTCGATCAGGAAATTCCAGACTGATTGACTTAAAATTTCACTCCTGGGAGAGGCTGAAACTGCAGTTAGGTTAGTTAGTACGTTTTGGTTTGGTGCTGAACTCCATTTTGTCTTCTTTTTTTTTTTTTAACAGTAGCCTCCTTAAAAAATAATATTCAGAAAAAAGTAAAAGCATGATTCTTGTTTGAACAGATACAAGAATGAACGTGTGTTTAAGGTTTTACTTTACTCCTTAATTAGTGAGGGAACCAGACCAGTGTTATAACAGGTTCAGAGGGAAAGTCATAGAAACACAAATTTAAATGTAATAAAGGGTTTCTATTACAAATGGAGGCAACACTGTCTTTGCAAAGGGGGAAGGAAGTCAAAGGAAACTCTACTGTTATCTGTGGAAGAGGAGTTCTTGGGGTGCCACTGGGATAAAAATTTCAAGAGCCCACATAGGAGAATGTGGTGCCGTAGGAAGCTTATTCCTGTGGACTCGAACCCCTGAGTTTCCACGGTCCCATTTCCCTTTGTCCCCGCAAGGAAGAATGTAGCTGTGGCTTCAGCAGAGCTAGAATCGGAGCCAATGTCCAGAAATTTTGCTCCATATTGGAGCAGTGTCCAGTCCAGCATTAGACTAGCTTAGTTTGTGGTCCCCACTGCAGTCCATCAGTCCATTGCATAGCTGTGGGCACATGGGCGCATGCAAGAGAGCCAAGAGCCAAGAGCCAGCAGAGCAAGCTCCTTTGTTTAGGGGATTATGTAGCCCATATTTCTGTGGGCTTGCAGTGGTCCTGCCCATTCTGGCCAATGATCTGTGTTCCAAGGTTTGACTGACAGGCACCTTCCCTAGTCACACCAACTTCACTACACATGCATCTACTAGTATTTCCCCTTTGTTGGATCCCTTCCCTCAGTGATCTGTGGGGAATGGGCCAGTGGTTCCCTGGGGAATGCAAAGTTGCAGCTTCCTGATCAAGTTTTTTTTTTCTTTTCCCCTCCCTCTCTCTCTCCCTCCCTCTCTCTCTCTCTCATCAATCAAAAACATATTTAAATAAATAAATAAATAAATAAATATTTAAAAGCTGCAGTTCAAGCTAACCCACCGTTGACTAACATATTATCTATTCTCCTTCATTATTAAATATATAACTTCAGATGGCCTGAGAAGGGGAGGTTTGCCTGTAGACCTTCCTTTGATTCCTTCAAGTTCTGTGGTTGGACGTGGCTGTAACAGGCAGCTTCTAAGATGGCCCCCAGTGGTCCCCAACTCTTGATATTTACACCACTGTATAACTCTCTCCCTTTGAATGAGGGCAAGACCCCTGACTTGCTTTAACCAATAGAATGTGTTATATAGGATGGGCTGTCACTTCCATGGTTAGGTTACATACGATAGAGAGTAACTCCTCTTTTGCCAGCAGGCGCTCCCTTCCTGGCTTTGATGAAGCAAGTTGCCATGTTGGAGGGGCCTACATGATAAGTGAATGAGGGTGGACTCTGGCCAAAGCAAGCAAAGAACGGAAGCCTTCAGTCCAACAACCTCTGAGGAGCAGATTCTTCTCTTCAAGCCTCCAAATAAGACCCCAACCCTGACAACACCTTGCCCCTGCCCCTGAAACAGAGGACCCCACAGCCTACCAGTTTCCTAACCCACAGAAACTGTGAGATAGTAAATATATACTAGTTTAAGTCACTAAATTTGCAGTGATTTGCTATGTAACAATAGAAAATGAACATAATGGCACTATTGGAAGAGTTGGCTTTCAGCCCTGGCCCCCAGTTAGTGGCCTACTCATCTCTTTCCAACCCCTTCTTTATTTGGAATCTTGATGGGCCTCCTGTTCATCTCTACAGACACTCCACTCCCTTCTCCTAGACATCCTTTAGGCCTAGAGGGGTGTATATACTCAGCTGGTGCTGCCCCTGACAGCAGTGCTGCCCTTGGGAGGATGGGCCAGGGGACAATTTCCTGCAAGCCCTGGGAATGGCTCAGGGCCATTTATGCAGGGAATTCCAGGGCACTTGGTACTCAGAGCATTCCAAAGGCGGGGCTTCAGGTCCTTGACTACACGCGCCCCCGCTCCTAGACCCCGCGCCCCTTTACAGCCCCTTGCCCCAAGACTCTCCATCTCAAATGAAAGAGCTTCTCAGCTAAAGAAGGAGCAGAGCAGGCCCCTCCAAAGCACATGGCCGCGGCCAGGGGCCCCTCTCACCCACTCTATGGCCAGCACGGTACTCATGAGAAGCACTGGATGGGGGTCAGGTGGATTGGATCAGACCCAGAGAGCTGCCTGCGGAGCCTAAATGAGTAGAGCTGCTGCACATCTGAGGGGAATCTTCAAAGAGAGAGAGGCTGAGCTGGATGGTAAAAGTGGGAGGACTTAGGAGGGGAATGGGAGGGCACCCAGGAAAGCAGCCAGACCTGAGTCAGTGTCCCAAAGGTATAGTCTCTTTAGGGTGGAGTGGCAAAGAGTTTGGGCTGTGAAGTCGGAGGGCATCTGTTTAAATCCTGCCTGCCTCTGCACTCTGATTGTATGATTTCAGGCAAATTACTTAAACCCACTGAGTGTCAGTTTCCTCATCTGTAAAATGGGGGTAAGAACTATCCGTTCCATAGGTTCATGGAGAAGATAAATGCCTGCAAAGTGCTTCATGAATATTGGCTACCATTAGGGAAACTGAGGGCTATTTTTTCTGCTCCCTGGTGCTACTTGCCTTGCCTCAGAGGGAGAATGAGGAGGGCTTATTCAGTTGCTTGAATACTCACTTGCTCAACAAGCTTTTATGGAAACTCACAGAGCATGGTCCTAACTTAACCCCTCCTTCCTCACACTCCATGAGAACCATGACGGGTCAATGGGAAGGTGCTACTGGAGCGTGGAGATACAGGTTCTGTGGTGCCTTCTCTCAATGACAGTGTGCCATTGGGCCAGGCATGGCACTGGTCCCTGTTGCCTCCTCTGTTAGGGTAGTTACCAGTGTAACCCCTCAAAATATGGACCACTGACCTGTAGCCTCGGCTTCCTGGATCATGTTAGAATGCAAAATCTCAGGCCCCTCCTCAGAGTCAGAGCCTCTGGGGTGGCCCCTGAAATCCCCCTCGCTAGGGGATTTTTTGCTCACTGAAGTTTGAGGATCCCTGGGGTGAGCTATCAGAAATCTTCACAGAGCTGGCTCCACAGATCCTCCTGGGTGCCCATGGGCTCGGCCTCACTTTTATAGGCACCTGCGGGGTTCTGGGGAAACATGTCCCCTGCTGCCCATTAGAGTTTAGAAACGGCTATGGTGTGAATGTTTGTGTCTTCCCAAATGCATCTGGTGAAAATCCCGAAAGGTGATGGTACGAGAAGGTGGGGCTTTGGGGAGGTGCTTCATCTTGAGGGTAGAGCCTCGTGAGTGGGATTAGTACTTTCACAAATGAGGCCCCACAGAGCTCCCTACCCCCTCTCCTCTAGATGATTCAGTGAGAAGTCTGCATCCTCTAAGAGCGTGCTAACCGGACCTTGCTGGCACCCTGACCTTGGATGTCCAGCCTCCAAAACTGTGAGATATAATTTTTTTATTGTTCTTAAGCCACCCACTGTATGCTATTTTGTTATAGCAGCCTGGACAGATAAGATACAGCTGGGCTGGGGGCCCAGTGCAAGGAAATTCAGGGCCCCTGTTCAAAAGCAGGAGAAAAGCTTTTTTCTTTCTTCTGTGGGCTCTGTCTTGACTCATCGTGTGTTTTTAAATTTGCTATTTAATGTCATGCCCTCTAGGCATGGGGAGACTTGGGTGAGTACAACCCTCAGGGCCTTCTGGGATACTGCCCCAACCCCCACCCTCCCTGTGTTTGCACCCAGGCCTCTGCTGAGGGCACTGCAGCTCACAGGGTGACCTCTGAGCTCCTGTTGGAGCAGAAGTGATTACAGCTGGAGGAAAGTGCAGCCAGCAGCAACCTGGTATTTAGGGTGATTAACGAACGGACTGGAAATTTCCTCTGCTTCGGCCTCAGCCTGCACCTGAACTGTGGCCGATGCAGCAGTCCATTTCTGTATAATGTCTTTTGACAGCTGGAAGGAGGGCAAACCCAAAAGACTAACCCAATTACAGTGAAGAATCTGGCTGTTCTCTGCTGACAAGGTGAACGAACACAAGGGCATCCCAATCGGGGGTTCAGTGCCTTAGGACCGGCCAGCTGCCGGCAGAGCCCGTGCTTTCCTGTCCAGCTCCCCTGCATATGTTTACTCTGCGACAAATGGTGGCTGTGACTCCTGGGCTGTGTCAGGTAGGGTAACGTGAAGAGAGCCAAAGTGGTTTGGCTTCCATGTTCTCCCCTAGCCAGACCTGAGATAGGTCCGCCCAGGAGAGGATATAGTGGTAGTCCCTGACCAGGAACTCGGAAAAGCTGTGGTCTCCTCCTTGAGTAGACATTGAGCCTCCCTGGGCCCCAGGATTCTCATCTGTAACATGAAGGTGTAAAATTAGATTATTCCCAGCTCCCCCTCTCCCTTACTTAACATTTAATATGGTTAAGGACTTAAAAGGCATTTCAGCCTGGGAATTAATTTTACGGGAGGAGCACTGGTAAAAGAACATCGGGCAGAATGGGATATAAACCAGAAGGTGTTACACCCATGAAAGGCTAAACTGTCATGAGAGTGTGACGTTTCTTCATAGGCAATGGCGAGCCGTTGGGCATCTACAGAGGACAGGGCTGTGTTCAGAGCAGCACCTGAGGAAGGTGTAGTGGGCGGCCAAGTTTCAGAAGAATGGAGGAGAAAAGAATCCAGGTAAGTCGTTTCCAGCAGCACTTCATGGAGCGGCCGACAGCCTGCAGAGCCACACGCCCACGTTTTATTGTGACCTCTGCCACACATACCTCACTCATGACTCACCTGCCGTGAGAAAGACAAAGAGAATGAGAAAGATTACTGCCAGAAATGGAAGCGCAGGCTCAGAGTCCAATTGGCAAAGCACCCAAGATACCTCTACTCCCTTCTCTGCTCCTCCTCCTGCGGAGGAGATGATCCCTCCTCCCCCCAGTCCCCCTGGCCCTCCCATGATGCCAGGGATGGGCCCTTCCCTTCTTGGGATGATGTCAGCTGGGCTCCCAATGGTGAGACCTCTCACCCATCCCCTGATGATGTCCACTGGCCAGGAATGACGCCACCAGACAGATAAGGAGAGAGGGGAGCCTCTTGCTGTCAGTTTTGTATTACTTCTCCACTTCACCAGGCGACCATGGTGCTGTGACTTTGGTTTTCTTCTAATGGCATGACAAGGAAGACTTGCTCCCCTTTTTTTTCAGAGAGAATAGTTTTGGGGGGGGAGTAGGGGGATAAAAAAAAAGAGGCACGTTTCATTTGTATTGTGAAATTTGAAAATAAATTGTCAATTCTTTTAGTTAAAAAACATAAAAGAATCCAGGTAAGAGGCTATGCATACATATATGTCTTCACCTTTACCAGGTAGCACCAATCTGCTTGCCTAAGGCTGTCCTCCCTCCCTCCCGCGGGCGAAGAGAGTTCTCCTTTCGGCAAACTCCCTCTATAACTTGGCATTCTCAGGCCTCTACATTTCTGCCAACCACATGGATGTGAATCAACATTTCATTGTAATATTAACTTGCGTTTCCCTGGTGAGTAGTGCATTTGAATGTCTTTTGTGTGTTTATTGGATATTAATGTTTCCTCTTCTGCGAATTTCCTGTTAAGTCTTTTGTCTATTATTTTTTTTAATGTTCTTTTAAAATGTCCACCCCCATAGAATCTGGATACTAATCTTTCATCAGTTATCTGCAATGCAGATGTGTTTTCCCAGTTTGTATTGGTCTTTTAACTTTGTTTATAGTGACTTTAGAAAAGCAGTCAGGTAACTGTAACAATTGAATTTGTCAGCATTTTAATTTATGGTTTGTTCTTTGGTGTATTTTTGAGAAATCCTTCTCTACCCTCAAATCACAAAGCAATTTTTAAATTTCTCCTGTATTTTAAAAAGTTTTAAGGTTTCCTTTCATCTTTAGGCCTTCACACACCAAATTTATTTTGTGTAGTAGAGACCCTATGCACAGATTCATGCACCAATGAGGTCTCTTGGCCTGGCCTGCAGGGATCGGGCTGAAAGTGGCCTGGTGCATGCATTTGTCCAGGGAGTGTCTGGCCTGTCTCTCCCAGTCCCAATCAGCCAGACCTCAGCAGTAAGCTAACCTACCATTTGGAGCATCTACCCCGTGGTGGTCAGTGCACGTCATAGTGACTGGTCAAATGGTTGAACAAATGGTCACTTAGCATATTAGGCTTTTATTATTTTGTATATGATGTAGGGTATGGTAAGGTAAAAATCCAATGCTATCACTTTCCATATGGATACCAGATGGTCCCAGGACCACTATTGAATGCCTCATGGCCCTTCCCCTTCCTCCCAGGCCAGGAAGAGGGTTACATAGGTGAGGGTTAGACAACTCTTGGGGTTGAAGGGTCTGCAGCATGGGCCGGTCCCTGGGTGCCCTGCTTGCCCACACTAGTCCTGCCCTCTCTCCCCTTCCAGAGGACTCAGCCCATGGCAGAAAGGCTTGTGCCAGCATGGACACACACAAGACTGGGTCTCCTGCCCAGGAATGCTGGTTCCTGAGACAGAAGAGTCTTTGTGAAAAAGGGAGAAGAAGAACCCTGATGCCTCCTGTGGGCTCCAGGAGGAAGAGGGAGGGATGCCTGGCACTGAGGGGAGGCAGGGCCTGGACTGGAGCCTCCAACGTGCGGTGAGAGACTTTCTAGATTTCTGAGGCTTCTGGGGTGAAGGGGCTGGGTCCCCTGGAAGGGAAGAGAGAAAGCAGGAATAGGGCCTTTCTCCTCTCACTGTCCTGAGGGGACCCGGCAGGCTCTGCCCCGCCTTCTTTCTAGAATGTTGGGGATACTTGAGGGTATCCCAGAAAGTTGAGGCTACGGCACAGATATGGAACAGATAACAGTGGAAGTAGAGAAAGATTGTCTTTTAATTCTCTTTCAATACTTCTAATTGTATCTGGGGGAAAGACTCCCTTTGGTCTAACCCAGCGGTTCTCAACCTGTGGGTCGCGACCCCTTTGGCGGTCGAACGACCCTTTCACAGGGGTCGCCTAAGACCATCCTGCATATCAGATATTTACATGACGATTCATAACAGTAGCAACATTATAGTTATGATGTAGCAGCGAAAAGAATTTTATGGGTGGCTCACAACATGAGGAACTGTATTTAAAGGGCCAGAAGGTTGAGAACCACTGGTCTAACCCTTCAACCCTGTGGAATGTTTGCTAATCCCCCCTTTTAACTCTGAGAGACTGGGCCTGAGGCTTTGGAGACCTGGGAGCTGGGGTATCTGAGTAGATATTTAATAACGTTGCTTTGTTTGTGTTGTATTTGCTTGTTGGGGGTTGCCTTCTATTCTGACAAGTGATGGCGGTTTGCTATTAGTGATGCTAATAGAAAGTTTCCTTTTAATACATGTATTTGAGCAAAAGAAAGCCGCCGTATGTGTGTAAGATCACATTTAGGTGAACATCTGGATAAAGAGATGTCGAAAAGGAGGGTCAGCAGAATGTTGATGGCAGTCAGATCCCGGTGATTTTTGTCTTCCTTATGCTTTTTTTTGTATTATTTGCATTTTTTACAATGAGCATACATTATTTAAAATATCAGAAAATAACTACTTTTGTTATGGAGAAAGGTACATAGGTTTAAAGGAACATACTAAATACATAATAATGCAAGGAATATATGGCTTTAGCAAGATGGTTGACTTGGCCTGGGTGACTTTGTGCTGGGAGACTATGAGGACCGGCCCAGGCAAACAGCCAGGACAGCCTACCTGTCACAGGAAAATTGGGCACCTACTGCTGGGGGTTGGGCCTTGTCTTTTCAGCCCTGTCCAGAGGATTTCATTTCAGTGTCTCACCAACAACTTTTGAACCAGGTAACAGCATTGACCAGTTGACGAGCTGGGACCGAGTTTCTGTGGTGTGTTAGACCAGGGGTCCTCAAACTTTTTAAACAGGGGGCCAGTTCACCGTCCCTCAGACTGTTGGAGGGCCGGACTATAGTTTTAAAAAAAAGCTGTGAACAAATTCCTATGCACACTGCACATATCTTATTTTGAAGTAAAAAAACAAAATGGGAACAAATACAATATTTGTATTTGTATGTGGCCCGTGGGCCGTAGTTTGAGGACCCCTGTGTTAGACCTTTGCGTTGCCTGCATTTAGATGCCTCAGGTTGGGGTGGACAAAGGGAATTTGGCCAGGGTCTCGATTTCTCTTCCTGGTGCTGTCCTGTGAATGGTCTTGTTGTAGAAGACCGAAAAAACCCAAGCACCGCTCAGAGAAATGGAGGTACACACCTTTATTACGCCGGCAGTCTCAGAGCAGTTGCTTCCAAAGTCTGAGCAAACCAATATGGTGGAAACTCTTTTTTTATCCCCTTTGGTTTCTTTGTCCCCCAAATCTGGATGGGACTTCCAGACCTTTCCTGGGCTTTGCAAAAAGCCCTGTGTGTTGGGATGGGGTCCTTGAGACCATATCTAAGGGCTTGGCCTGGTGCCAGCGCTGATAACCCCCTCTGGGGGTTGTGTATTGTTCATGGTTTATGGCCGCTGAAAAATGTGAGCATTTAGGTAACAGGTCTTGCAAGACCAGATTGTGGAGAAAGGGGCAGTGACTTAATTATAGGTTATCAAGAATGTACATTAGGTTACTGGCACAGATTCAGATTGCTAGCCTCCCAAACATCAGGGTTACATTGAGTTAGCCTTTTAGCCTTCTCAGTCTGTTGTTCTAGAGCTGAACAGCCTTCTCCCTGTAGGCTGTTCCCCATCTGCGGAGTGACCACTATTTGGCTCTCTTCCCAAAGAGTCCTGGCAGCTAGTGCCAGTTCGCTCCTCCGCAATGTAGGGCGTCATTTAACAGGAGCCCCTGGGGTGATTGATTCCTCCTGTGTAGCCACCGGAATCCTCCTTCACCACCCTCAGGAAAAGGCTTTTTCAGATCACACCCTGAATGACTATTTAATCTTTAATGGGGCCAACACGTCCAGACAGAACAAGGAGCAGACAGTGACTCCCGCCTCCTCCTTGGGGATTTACCGGGCTTCATGGTCTGACTGCTGTGCTGTGTGTCTGATTACGGGGTGGATGGGGATTGAGCCCACAGTGTCTTCCATCATGAGATAATACAGACCATGTTGTCGCTAATCCATCGGCACAAGACAGCCACAGGCCCTGCCCTCCTGGGGTGGCAGTCAGTCTGATGGAGGAGGCAGACTAATGAGGGCAGGTGTGAAGAGCGTTTGCTGCAGCATGTAGCAGTGGTCACTGAAGGGGGCGCTGAGAGGGGTGTCTGAACAGAAGACTTAGAATGAGACACTGCAGGGGAGGGGAAAATTTCCCCTTTTAGTTATTCTGACTGGCCTAATAATCAAGTGGACATGAGACAGATCAACAGGAGAAAATGATCAAATGTAGTTATGTATGTGCATACAAGGGTTCCTGTAAGACAAGGGGACCCAAGGGCAAATCTGACAGGTGAGGTTTCTATGCCATCTTGAGCCAAGGAGAAAGGGAGTAATGGTTTATATTTCTAAGAGAAGGTAGGCAATTCACAGAGAGAGATGGGAAGGAACTAAATATTTGGTAAACAAATTCTTGCAGGTCTACCCAGAAACAATGGGACACAGAGGGGAGTCTAACAAACAGACTTCCTGGGTTCCTCCCTGTCTGCCACACTTAGTTTATGTTAAAACATAGTTGTCTGTGATTATAGCTCTCTTCCTGGAGCAGGTTCTCGGGCTAAATTCCTTTAGGCAATTTTTGGAGAAGGTCAAAGTTTCTTCCTGAGGCTTGTTTTTAAAAAATAAACCATCTTAAAATAAACAATATTCCAAAAAAAAGGGCATATTTGGTGGGAAACCTCTCCTCCACTTCAACTCAAAGAAAGAATTCACCAGATGAGGAGAGGTGGGAAGGAGTGATCCAGGGAGAGGGAACAGAATATGCCAAAACCCAGATGCCAGAGGGACCCTGCTGTGTTCAGCTGGGAGAAGAAGAGAGAATAAGCTGGGGAGACCGGTAGGGCCCACATCCTGTTGGACCTCCTAGGACAGGAGTTCTCAACTGAGGGCAGTTTTGACCCCCAGGGGCCTTTGGCAAGATTGTCACAGCTTGGTTGTCACAAATGTGTTTGTGTTTGTGTGTGTGTGGAGCGGGGCAGTGGCTCCTGGCATCAACTAGGTGGAGGCCCTGGATGCTGCTAAACATCCTGCCAGGCACAGGACAGCCCCTGGCAACAAAGAATGATCCAGCCCCAAATGGTCAATAACGCTGGTGTTGAGAAACTGGGTCTGAAGACTTTGTTCCTCCTTCTAAAGCCAAGAGGAAGCTATAACCGAGTTTTACAGGAGAGGGACAGGATCAGATTTGTGTTTTAAAGTGATCAGCCCAGCTGCTCTGAGGAAATGTTGAGATCTAGCTGTTCTAGTTCAGGGCCCCTCCTAGTAGTACTGGACTCTTTTCTCCAGCGTGGGAATTTCCAGCCTTCTGGACTGCTTCGTGGACCTCTAGGCCTCTAGGAAACCCCATCCAGGTCAGAGAAACCAAGTCAGACACTTAGTA